GCTATCATCTTTGGAAGCTGGTCTTGGTGAGGAGTCCCTGTATTGAAGGGTCCATGTGTCCATGACATGTTATACTTGCATCGGTAATATGTGAACTTTGAACCTAAACTTAAAACTTGTATCACTTATTTACCCATTTTCATTTATTTTTTTTTTTTTTTTTTTTTTTTGGATTTTTGCTTTCATTTTTGTTTTTGCAAGTCAGGGAGAGCATTTGAGTCCTGCATGGCTGCAGGGAGAGAGAAGGGAGGATGAAGAACCCAGGGAGGGGCACAAGGTCAGCATCCCTCCATTTGGGTTACAGCCATGGCAGTATTAGTTACTTTTCATGGTAAAGTGCCGTAACCAAAAGCAACCTGTGGAAGAGTTTATTTTGGCTTACTGTGTCAAAGAATGAAGAGTCCATCATGGCAGGAAACATGGCAGCCAGCAGCTGGCGTGATGGCAGGGGTGGGAAGCTAAGAGCTAACATCTGTAACAGCAAGCAGACAGCAAACTGGAAATGCCGTGAGGCTGGACAGTCTCAAAGCTCGCCCCCAGTGACCCGCCGCCTCTAGCAAGGACGCACCACCTAAACCTCCCCAAGTAGTAACACCAACCGGGAACCAAGTGTCCAAATGCCCCTGTATAGGCCCTTGGCCATACCATAATGCAAAATGCACTTATTTAATCCAACTTCAAAAGGTCCCTATGATCTTTCACAGTCTCAACACTGTTTAAAAGTCCAAAACCTCTTCTGATACTCCAGGCAGTCTCTTAACTGTAACCCCTGTAAAAAGCAAAAAAGCAAATTACATGCTTCTGACATGCAATGGCACAGAATATATATTACCTCTCCAAAATGGAGAAATGGAGCATAGTGGAGCAAATACATGCCAAGTCAGGATGGAAACCCAGCAGGAAAACGCCAAAACCCATACATACTCCATGGAGCTGGAGAAGCCAGTCTCTCTGGAGGGGTGGGGGTGCCTCATCTCCCGCTGCAAGGGGAGATTGAGTCAGGGGGCAGGCTCTGGGACTCTGCAGCCCCGCATGGGGTGGGGGGCTCTGTGCCATGACACACCCGACAGTGCTTCGCCCAGTGTGGAGGGTGACAGTGGCGTGGACACATCAGCCCTGTTCCTGCAGACAGGCTTTCTCATCCTCAGTGCGGGAAAGGGAGGAGGCACAGTGCCCTGAAGCCTCGGGGAGAATGGAGGCCAATGCAGAAAAGGAAGGAGCCTGGACAGACAGCTCCTAGGAAAGCCTCTCTTCAGGGACCCACATCCCTGTGTCCCTGGAAAACCCCACCGTCAAGTAACGCTGTCCTCAGGGCATGACGTGTTCTTGCCCTCTGGACCTGGCAGCAGCTGTCCAAGGGCTGCCCATGACTGGGCCCGTTTGCTTCCCGTCATGGGGGAGGAGAGGGGCTCATGACTCCCTGCCTACCCTCAAGAATTTATAGACCGTTTAGGATTGCTAGCGGGAGGGGATCGCAAGGCCACACCCCTCCCTGGGTATTTATGGACAGTTAATGGTTGCCAAAATATCTAGTCAGGAGAACCGGTGCCAGGAGAAGAATTTTTTTTTAGCGATGTAGCTGCCCAAAAGTTGCCCAAGCTCCCATAACACCCTTACAAAATGGGGGAGGTGGAGCTAGCGGACCTGTCTACAAGGCCTGCTCCTGCTCCTTGCCTGGGTGGCATTTCCCATTGTCCCCGACTCTCTGAGTTCCCTCCATAGCAGCAGTGACCTTGCAAGGGTGTGTCAGGGCTGCTCCATCACCTCTGCAGGACTTGGGGACCGTAGCTCCTGCCCTGCCTTCCAGCGTTCCTTCACCCGTCACCGGTCACTCCCAGGGAAGCTGCTGACAGGGACGCCGCTTTTCCTACCTGAGGCCCGGGGCCCTGTGTGTAACTGAAGGGTGGCAGGTGGAGCACTGATTCCTAAGGGCCTCAAGAGAAGGGTGGTAGCCAGCTCCAGGCTGAGTGGCACAGCGCGGATGGTCACTGGGTTGTGTCCCAGGCTGTTCAGCAGCTGTTCTGTAATAAAATGCACAGCCAGGGGAGGCCGGGTTCTCTTCTCCCTGCTCTGGAGACTGAGAGGAAGGCACTGGGAATCCTGGCAAGCAGGCTGCTGTGCCCTAGATGGTCCCTCCCAGGGGGACAGGCCAGAGACCCTCCCCCCATGCCCTTTTTACAATTCATAAGTCACCCTTGTGACCTGAGCACTTCTGAGGTTAGTACCGGCAGCCTGAAGGATCTAGATTCGCCTAGGACACACACCTCTGGACATGTCTAGATAAGTGGAATTGAAGAGGGATGAGCCAGCCTGAATGTGGACAGCACCATCCCATGTGCTGGGGTCCTGGACTAATAAAAAAAAGAAAGAAAGCTGAGCACCAGTGTTCATCTCTCCACTCCCTGACGGTGAATGTAGTGGGCCTCACACTCCTACCGCCATGACTCACTCACCATGATGGACTGTGGCCCTAATAACTGTGAGCCAAATAAACTCCTTCGTTCCTTCCTCCCTCCCTCCCTCCTTCCTCCCTCCCTCCCTCCCTCCTTCCTCCCTCCCT